TTCCGGCTAATTAAATATAACTTAAGTCAAGTGATTTCTACAAGTATAACATTTATACTGGATTTTTACCTACAATGTCTAGGTGATTTTTCATTTTTTTTTAAAAAAAATCCTTACATCACTCACGAATGCTCATAAAACTGGGCTAACTAAGCTCAAGTCCTGACCCGGGTAGCAGGTGTTCCGTAAACCGTCAACTTAAGTACCTCCAGCCTTAGACAAGAACATGCCAAGTGAGCTTTCTTGTAACCGCAGTTTTACAAGATATCGACCTATTTTAACTATTAAAATTGATCGTGCTTGGTTGTTAACCTTAAGTGAGCATGCATTTATCTTTGTTATAGATTTTAACGACTATCTCGTTTTATGACGTTGAAAATAACCTATAACATGCTTTATATAACAATTATATAATCATCCATTCCATGCAATAATATAACAATTTATATCTATCACTCATGGAACCCTAAACATGCATACTATAAATTATAACACTGATAACGTACTTGGAATGCATGAAACATGCTTAGCCTATGGTGGGATTTAAACTCTATATGACATACTTTATGCATATACATTTTTTATTTAATTAAAACATACATTCATAATGCATAATTAATTAAACACATTAAAGTGGATTGATTTTGGCATTTTAAAGCAAGCAATTAACTAAATTATTACATTAATAATTAAAAATAACTTGAACCGCTCCCGAGGATCACGTACAGGTCGAACCAACCCTTAAAAACATTGAACCGAACCCTAGCTGGAAGAAAAAAATACTCGAACCGCCTCTTCCATCTTCTTCTTCAGTTCAGCTTGCTATCTCTTCCATTTTTGATCAATTACAACCTAAAATGGACTCTAGTGACTCCATAAAAATTACAGACTTTTCTGCACTCATTAAAGCCCATACACATTAGGCCAATTACAATAATTGAATACAATGTAAGCATAAAAAAAATGCCAAAACCATAAACATCCACAATAGCAACCATAAAATTTCATTCATGAAATGGTACCCACCATGCTCAAATTAATGTAAATAAAGTGCCTAGCATGGTGTTACTATAACACGTGCGGAAGAAATTTAGATTTAGGCACTCTAAATACATCAATTATAGTAAATTAGCTAGCATGTTCAAAAGCATTAAAACTCAATGAGTTTGAATACTAACCTTTTGTAGTTTAAATTCTTTTTTCCTCACGAACCGGTTTCGAACACCCACTAGTTTCTTCCCTACTATTCTCCGGCCTTAAAACGGGATTGTGGAATTCGGTGAGTGACTAAACTTGATAGGAATTTAGTATATGTAAAGAGAGAGTTTTGAGCGATTTTCTCAAAGTTTTTCGAGCAAAATTTCCATGTACCCTAATCACTCTATTTATATAGTCATATTTGCATGATATTTGCATGTTCATGCAAATTTGAGATTACCAAATTTTGACACTTCAAATTTCACTCAAATTTGTGGGATTATGTGGCAAGCATGCAAGTTTGAATTAACCAAATTTTGACACTCAAAATTCCACTCAAATTTGTGGAGTTTATTTGGCAAACAATGTCTGGTTAAACCAAATTTTGACACTCAAAATTCCACTCAAATTTGTGGGATTATGTGGCAAACATGCAAGTTTGGTTAAACCATATATTGACACACAATATTCCTATAATTAATTTCAAATCAAAATAATATGAAATGATTAATTAAACAATTTAATTAAAATTTAACATTAAATAAAATGAAAATCCCAATGAATTCCGGCACATATTCATTATGAATCCCTATTCATAATTAAAATATTTAAAATCTTATTTAAATATCTCCAATTCTCTCTTTTTGTTTAATTCATAATTAAAACAAAATACGTTTAAATATGTCCTATATATTTAGTGTATATTCCCTAATTTGAATTCGAACACTTCGAACTCACTTGTCATACTATTCTAAGGTTTAGTCCGATATGAGCTAGTAGGGGGACCTAATGGACCTACAGATCATGGGCTCCAATGATCCGAGATTAACCGGCTAAACTCATTAACCCTGTTAACCAACATTCGTTAACTATTAGAACACTTCACTGTAGCCTAGTAGTTGCACTCCCCTCACTATAGATATATTTCTGTCCATTTGATATAACCATGATTGGTAAGTCGATCCTTCACAGGTTGTTCATAACTAGAGCTGGGTCAATTTGTCGTTTTACCCTTAAAGTTACTTCTTGTTCCTTGAGTCCCACTGATCATCTAATGAACAATTGGTTTGTGGTCCAACCACCAAACCAAATCCCTCTCAGGCCAATGAGAGGGTGGGACCCCTTGTTCAAGACTTGGAGTCAGTACTTGAGGGAACAACCTCTCTACTATCCCTAAAAGCGGATAGGACTAAATTCCATCTTACACTCTATGTCCCCAGCTATTCACCCAGTCTTACCCTTGAAATGGTAGGCTTATTGAGTCGGAGAACTCGGGCCACTCTCACCCATGCAAATCTAAGGATAATTCCGAATAAACAGAAGTTCATAGTTAGCTCAGGATTAAGATTGAGTTACCTAGGTCATTGAATGAAAAAATCAGTCTCAAAGTGAGAGTCTTACCCTTGAAATGGTAGGCTTATTGAGTCGGCGAACTCGGGCCACTCTCACCCATGCAAATCTAAGGATAATTTCATATAAACAGGAGTTCATAGTTAGCTCAGAATTAAGATCGAGTTACGTAGGTCATTGAATGAAAAAATCAGTCTCAAAGTGAGAGTGGTTTTCTTGGTCCGATCTTATGCAATACTCATTGCATAGAACGCCCCCACTCACATGTACAATGATTCCATTGTTTATATCATATAGAAAAGTGTTTATATCATATAGAAAAGTAGACTGCATCCAGTCTGAATAAGGTACTCAACCTTATCTTGATTCACTCTGATGTCTCTACATATAGTTCAAGTAATCATACTAAACCCAACAAATATAATCAATTCTACTGATTGATCCTGAATGATCATTAATAAAAGAAGACAAATGGAGATGCGAGCAATCGATCCCCGTACCTCTCGCATGCAAAGAGAGCACTCTACCATCTTAGCTACATCCCCACAATTCTTACATCATAAAAGTCATAGGTCCTATCATCCATAAATAGTGAAAATGAAAAACTAAATAGTGAAAATGCACTCTACCATCTTAGCTACATCCCCACAATTCTTACATCAAAAGTCATAGGTCTTATTTGGAGATGCATGGTAACGATCTCCGTACCTCTCGCATGCAAAATGATTGTTCTACCATCTGAGCTACATCCCCACAATTATCCTTGCTTTTCTTCAATTGAAAAGAAATAATATATTGTGATTTTGCTTTTCTTCAATTTTGTACCATCTGTATGAAAGTGTCATTTTTCTCCACAATTTCAACACTATGCGTTTGGTTTGTTTGGAGATTTTTCTCGATTCCTTTATTTTGATCGCCCATGTTTGTTTGGGCTCTTTGATTTACTTCTTTCCTTTCGATCAACATTGAGAGTATTGCCAGATGAATCTCCAATTTCCCATTTGGGAATACTTTCACTGACATCTCGAATTTCATCAAACTTTAGTTTATCAGATTCTCGTGAACTGTTGATTGCAGCAACAACAGTATACCACGGCTCGGGTAAAGATGACATCAAAATTATTGTTTTAATTTCATTTTTGAACCTAATTTCCTACCAAAACCCAACTTTCGAAGCTTCGAAATACCGAATCGTGACTAAAAAGATGAAATAAAAAACAAATAAAAATAAAATGGAAGGAAAAATCCGGCAAAATTTAAAACAAGAAAGGAAATTAAGGACACTAAAATTAAATATAAAATCAAAGTCAAATGTTACCAAATAGGAAAAAAAAAAGGGGAGAAAGGGATGAGTATAAAAATATACTCAGTAAGCAACCTACTTGTAGGCTCTTTTCACATCCTTATCTTGGTAGGTATCCATGGTCTCTCTCGGGTTTCTAAAGAGAGTGAACTAAGCTGCAACTCTTATTTCTGTATCTTAGGAGGCTTGCCCATCTTAAGCAATGATATGATCAGTGTCCTCATAAGTAAATCTGAGGGGCTCGTATGGCTGGATCTGAATACGTAACTCTCTCTGAACATCATCCGTGGAGGTTAGCTAACGACCCTCCCACGGGACCATACATCCACTAAACGGGGTGCGACCCCCTATGTGCCGGTCAGCTACTGAGTCATCCTATGTGGCTTCACGTCCCCTGCTCAGGGACGGGTTTCTACGGCCTAGGAGTCCTATTCAAAAGACCTCTTAGCTATCACCACTAGGGCTGGGCACTTGTCACACTTCCCTATCCGAATCTGTCAAGCTCAACGATCTCCGTACCGGAGCACTGTCTCAACGGTACGATATCGGAGCAGAGAGAGAAATGGAGGTTTTGATGACACTATCCACACTGCTCAACTCTAGCGAGCTCCCTACAGTTACCGTGGTGACCTATTATTCTTTCTAGGGTGGAGAACTTGGTGGCTTAGACTTGGATTCATGTATCTCTAGGATTCTCGTGCCTGATCTCACAAACCTATCGGGTTTGGAATTCTGGGGCTCTGGATCCGCCGATAATCATTTCGTAGGCCTAATTGCACGGTATTCTAGAAGTCCCCCATTCTAGGGTCTCATCAAGCCTACTTAGTCACAAGCACCCTAATCTAAGCTCGTAATTTCTTCCTATTCATCAAGAAAGATAACACAGCAATCATCATGCATAAGAGTTGACACGTAGCAGTTCATGCAATATTAACAAACATGCTCAACGGGAAGATAACGTCCATCTTTACCCGGAGCGCAGATTTCACAAGTTTCCCATCCTCCTCATGCATACATACTTTATCAGAATCTCAATAAAACAAATTTAATAAACATTTCATATCTAGCTTTCCTTAATCACTTCATTTTCACAGTTTCCATACTAATATACTAGGTCCGCTAGTTAAGTTAATGAGTGGTAGCTTGCATGCTTGTTCCTAGTAGTTCCTACAAGTACTGCTCGTGAAAATCCAAATGGCTACTTACATGGTTGACGCGTGCCTTCCCAAGCTCGAATTATTTGCTGGTAAAGATTCCAAAAATTCTGAAATTTTCTTGATAGGACCTAATTCACATAATAATAGGATCAGAGTTGAAATCGGGGCGAAAAACAAGCAAACGGAGGTCAAATAGGTGAGAGATTGGGGGTCCCATGCGCCATGCACGCGCCAGCAGGTTTCTCACGCGCGCCGGCACACGCCCACACTCGCAGCCTCCACGCGCGGGCAGTGTCGCGTTTCCAACCCCAGCGGCAGCGGTCTTACCTTCAAATTTTCTGAGCGAGACACGTGGCTCACAGTGATTGGTGGCAAAAGTCGAGTTGGACCGCGGGTTTCCGGACTGGTTCAACGGGCGTACGGGTTGACCCGACTCAGCGCACCAGTGGTACGCTGCCACATGACGCACGCCGGCTTCGCCGCGCTCTTCCGTTCGCCGGTCGACGCATGGCAGTCTCTTTCTCTCTCCTGCATGTGTTTCAAATTTCCAGATGTTAGCGTTTTCGCATTTTCGATCTATTTTCTTTGGATTTTCTTATATTTCAATCTGTAATCCATATCAACAAGGTTTCTTCACGAAAATTGCAGATCTCACATTCTACTTCAACAATACATTTTGAATTTTAAGTAAAATTTCACTACAAACTAAGTTTTTGAAAACGACCTTTATTTTATTTTTATTTTTTTATTTTTTTATTTTTTTATTATTTTATTTTTTTATTTTAGTTTTCAAAACCTACATTGATATGTCAAAACTACTTCTTTGCTACCCTTTAACAATATTTATATTGTAAAATGAGAGTAACTTCTTTTTACTACTAGTTTACTTCTATCTCATGTTAAAAAAAAATTGCTAGTAAACATAAGTCCTCTTTTATTGTTATATATACTTACTCCATTTGTATTTACTTCATTTTAAACAAAAGTTCACCGTAATTAATAAACCCATGTGCTTAATACATTTTCCAAAAAACAAACTTGTTTGTATTAGAATAAATTACAATGAATAGGAAGAGAAGAAATCCCTAAAATAAGTAGAAGGTTGAGAATTTCACTCAACCACACAATCGAACTTGATAGACTCATGTGCAATTCTACCCCCAACAATTGCTTGAAACTTAAAAATGGTAGAGTTAATGCTCGGATTTTTAAGGAACTTCTCAACTTGAGAGATCAATTTCACTCATCTCAAATCTGATTTTTACATAATAATTTGAGGATATTTATAGTCTCCCCACAAAAGAAGTTAATGGCCTGGATTTAATCTAAATCCCCTTAATCTCCACCAAAGCCGAGGTCAATTTGACCATTGCATACTCTATGAATTAAAAATAAATAAAGTTTTCTAACAACTCATCTAATGATACTTGCAACTTCATCCTCTACTTCAACTATGTAAATATTCACTTCTGACGCTCCAAATAGTCCTTCCTCAATCGAATAAACTTGTAACACATGAAATGAGAGTTGAACAAAGTCTATCCAATTTTATAGATGAAGAATAAATGCTTATTGAATCTTCTTGGCTGGTCCAGTTGGAACATTTGAATCACCGTGATCCTTATGAACTTCCCCCTCTTCAAAAGGATTCGTCCTCGAATGAGAAAAATCATCACCTACATCAAAGGACTGAAGTCAGCAACATTGAAAATTGAAAGTAGAATGTGCTGAAAATTCTCAAGAAAGATCATTTTATACGCATTGTTATTAATTATTTCAAGGACTTGATAGAAGTTATCCCCTCTTGGATGTAACTTTGTCTTCCTTTTGGATTGAAATCGCTCCTTGCGAAAATGTATCCAAAACCAGTTATCGAGTTGAAAAATGATTTCCTTCCGTCATTTGTTAATTCTTTAAGTAACTTTGAAATTTTGTTTCTCAATCGTCTCCTTCACCTCTTTATGCAATGTTTTGAGCAGACCTTACTTGTGGTTGCTCTACTCACAAAAATATTTAATTCTTAAAGTAACTTTTTGTTTCTCAATTGTCTCATTTCACTTGTTTATGCAATGTTTTGATCAGATCTGCCTTACTTGTGGTTGCTTTACTCACAAAAATATTAGAATGAATAGGAAGCAAATAAAGAGGCATAGGTGGATTAAATCCATAAACATCTTCAAAAGGAGAACAATGAGTGGTACTATAAATTGCTCTAAAGGAGAACAATGAGTGGTACTATGAATTGCTCTAAACGAACACGGTACTATGAATTGCTCTATTATATGTCATCTCTACAAATGGCAAACGTTCGTCCCAAGACTTAATATTCTTACAAATAATAGGCAGATTAAATCCATAAACATCTTCAGAACGAGAACAATGAGTGGTACTATAAATTACTCTAAACGAGAACGGTACTATGAATTGCTCTATTATATGCCATCTCTACAAATGACAAACATTAGTCCCAAGACTTAATATATTCTTAGAAATAATAGGCAATAATCCAATTTATCCCACACCATACTTTTCAAGAGTGACTTAAAAACTTAACATCCCCATCTTTTTGTGTGTAGCAAGCCACCTTTAAACCCATATATAATCCATGCAAAGAGAGCACTCTACCAAGCTACATCCCCACAATCCTTACATAACAAAGCCAAAACTACCCGTCATCAATAATAGTGAAAATGAAATAATATTTCTAATCATTATGTCAAAAATAAGGAAAAATTGAATAGAAATAAAATATTAATAACGTATAGTTTCATTATGTCATAAATAAGAAAATATTGAAAAGAAATAATACATTTAATAATCGATAATCTTCCTTTGGGGATGCGTGATATCGATCCCCATACCTCTCACATGCAAAGAGTGCTCTATCATTGAGTTACATCCCAACCATTCAACCCTAAATTTTTCATCATCAATAATAGTGAAAATGAAGAAATATCACTACTCAACATGTCAAAAGAAATAATATATTTAATACTATATAGTTTTATTTGAAGAAATATCGCTACTCAACATGTCAAAAGAAATAACATATTTAATACTAGATAATTTTATTTTGGAGATGCAAGGTATCAATCCCCGTACCTCTCGCATTCAAAGCGAGCGCTCTACCATTTAAGCTACATCCCCACAATCATCCCTAATCATTATGTCGTAAATAAGCTACTTTCCACGTGGGAAGCTCTACCATCTGAGCTACATCCCCACGGTTCTTACATTAGAAAACCCAAAACGTCCCGTCATCAATAATTGTGAAAATGAAAAAATATATCCACTTATTATGTCATAAATAAGGAAAGATTGAGTAGAAATAAAATATTAATAACAATTAGTTTCTTTTTGAGATGCAGGGTATCGATTCCTGTTCCTCTTTCATGCAAAGAAAGCATTCTATCATCTGAACTACATCCCCACAATTCTTACATCACAAAACCTTAAACATCACGTCATCAATAAAAGTGAAAATGAAAAACTATCTCTACTCATTAGGTCATAAATAAGGAAAGATTTAATATAAATAAAATATTAATAACAAATAATTTCTTTTAGAGATGTGGGATATCGATCCCAATGCACTAAACCATCTTACATACATCCCCATAATTCTTACACCACAAAACCCTAAACGTCCCGTCAACAATAATAGTGAAAATGAAAAACTACCTTTGCTCGCTATGTCATAAATAAGACTAATAATTGATAGTTTTCCTTTGGAGACGCATGATAGTGATCCCCATACCTCTCGCATGCAAAGCAAGCGCTCTACCATTTAAGCTACATCCGTACAATTCTTACATCACAAAACCTTTAAACTTCCCATCATCAATATGAAAATGAAAAAAATATAATGTTACTTTTGGAGATGTGGGGTATCGATCCCCGTGGCTGTTGCATGCAAAGAGTGCACTCTACCATCTTAATTACATCCCAACAATCCTTACATGACAAAATCCTAAATGTCCTAGTATCAACAAAAGTGAAAATGAAAACTATCCCTGCTCATTATGTCATAAATAAGAAAATTTGAAATAGAAATAGAATATTTGGTAGTAGGGCGCTCTACCATCCAAGCTACATCCCCACAATTCTTACGTCATAAAATTCTAAACCTACCATCACCAATAATAGTGAAAATAAAAAAATATCTCTGCTCAATATGTCAAAATAAGAAAGATTGAATAGAAATAAAACCATCTGAGCTACATCCCCGCATGCAAAGTGATCGATCTAAGCTACATCCCCACGATTCTTACATCACAAAACTTTAAATTCATCAATAATAGTGAAAACGAAAAAATATCTCTGCTCATTATGTCATAAATAAGGAAATATTGAATAAAAATAAACTATTAATAACAAATAATTTCTTCAAGAGATGCAAATGCAAAGTATCAATCCCCATACCTCTTGCTAAGGGAACGTTGTACCATCTAAGCTACATCCCCACAACTTTTATATCACAAAACTCTAAATTTTCTGTCATCAATAATAGTGAAAATGAAGAAATATTCTACTCATCATGTCATGAATAAGGAAATATTGAATAGAAATAAAATATTAAAAATAACGAATAGATTTTTTTAGTGATAAGAGGTATTGATCCCCATACCTCTCACATGTTAAGCAAACACCCTACCATTTAAACTACATCCCCACAATTCTTATATCACAAAACCCTAAATGTCTCGTCATGAATAATAGTGAAAAATGAAAAACTATCCCTGTATCAATAAAAATAAAATGAAAATAATTAATATATTTAATAATTGATAGTTATCCTTTAGAGATGCGGGGTACCAGTCCTCATACCTCTCGCATGCAAAGCGAGTGCTCTACCATCTAAGCTACATTCCCATGATTCTTACTTCACAAAACATTAAACTTTTTGTCATCACTAAAAGTGAGCACTCTACTATCTGAGCTACAATCCCACGATGCTTATGACATAAAACCCTAAACAGTCTTGTCATCAATAATAGTGAAAATGAAAAAATATCACTACTCATTATGCCATAAATAAAAAAAAAATGAATAAAAATAAAATAGTAATAACAAATAGTTTTTTTTAGAGATGTGAGTATGGATCCCCATACCTCTCACATGCTAAGAAAGCGATCTAAAATCTAATTTACATTCCCTTGATTCTTACATAGAAAACTCTAAATGTCATTCCCTTGA